CCGGCAGCGGGGCCCGAGGCTGCGGCCGCCAAGCCAGACCTGGAGGAGTTGGTGGCTCTCACCCCGCCGTCCCCCTTCAGAGACTCGGTGGACTCGGGGAGCACAACCCCCAACTCGCCAGTGTCGGAGTCGGCCCTCTGTATCCCGTCGTCTCCCAAATATGACACTCTTATCATAAGAGATTACACTCAGAGCTCCTCGTCGTTGTGAATGTCCCTGGAAAGCGCACCGGCCTGCGCGTGCGGAGCAGAGCCCCCCGTGTTCACACACACAGTGGCAAGCATAGTCGCCTGGTTACGGCCCAGGGGGAAGACGCCAAGTGCACCCCTTGATGGAAACACGAGATCCATAGTGCTATCTCACGACAACCGACGAAGACACCGACGACAAATCTTTTGGCAGATTTTCTTCTAGTGGCCTTAGAAAACATGGGCTTTTAAGAAACACGGCTGATATCTTTGAGGGCTGACAAGGCGTCTGTTCAAACAGTTCCATACCAAGTGCTTTGCTCTAGGAAAGCAGTGCGTGTGAAACAGCGTAACGGAGGGTGAAGAGCATAGTTAATAAGCAACTGTAAAAAGTTTTATTTGTTTACTTTAATTCTTTTCCCAGAAGAGTCTTTGATTCACCAAACATGAATGTACATTTTCTAACAAACTCAAAATCTGGGACCAAAACATCAACTTTTCTCTTTCTTTTTTCTTTCTTTTTGTTTTTTCTTTCCTGTAAAGACCTTGAAAAGCAGTAACTTGGGTCCAGTATTTACTGAGGCGTTGTGAATGTGTCCCATGCATAACACACGACTGGATAGTGAGTGCTGCGCTAATGTACTACGTAGGGCTTCTACCAGAGATTTTCCTCTCCAATTGGGTTGTGAAATACTCTTCCAAAAGCCTGCATCGGGGATTCCACCTACTTATTTCAGATTCACCTCCATTAACCAAGAAAACCAGTGGAAGATTTCTTGACTATTTCACCATGTTGCCAATCAATACTGGAGTAGCAAAAAAATATTTTCTGGAATACTGTTTTGTAATTCCCTCACTGGGGTGCATTGTAGCTGGAAATTCTCTTTATAATCATTCTTGAGCTCCAGCCTGGCTATCTCTTTCAAGAAACATGGCCACTCCTCTTTAGGAATGCTGTTCCGTTTGCATTGCCAACTAAAATATTAAAATATGCATTGGGGCTTCTTCATTCCTTTATTTTGAGAACCTGATGCACAAAGAGCTCCTTTGTTCTTTTTGAGTCCCACCACTGGAAGAGTGGTCCATAGACCCCATGAAGACATTGTCACGATTTGAGAGACTGTTGTTGAAAGGATTAACACAATCTTAATACACTGAAAATTTTAAACTGTGTCAAGTCAGCTTAGTGGAGATTTAGTTATGCCAGTGAGCAGTGATTTTAACTATTCTTGGCTGCTTAAACAGGGCAGCTATGAACTATGACAAATGTAGATTTTTCAAAGCAATACAAAATACTAAAAAAGAGGAACCTTAATGAATATTAACCACACAGTCTTTCTTAGCCATTCCAAAAAGAGGCAAAGCAATTCTTATTTTCTTTTTTTAAATAATGATTCATATTATTTTGTGCACTTCATACTGTCACTTTTTAAAACTGCAGAAAAGAGATTTAGAGGTATAATAGAAACAAGTGTGCTTTGATAGTCTCAAATAGGTAGAATTCATAGTTCAAGACCTGAATCCACTGTCATCTCTTTCTTCCTCCCATTGCAGCTATCCTCAGGTACCAAATGTTTTGATTTTTAAATAAGGATAGTAATAAATGGAGGAGGTGTCCTATAAATTCAAAGTTCAGTTGACCCAGCCTTATACTTAAGATAGCCTTATGAAAAATATATGCTGTGAGGCAGAAGTATATTTTGGCAGAGAGAAAAATAAATAAAACTTTTTCTTTTAGCTAATATCCTTATTTTGGTAAGTAATTTTTTTTTTATTTCACATCTACTTAAAAGAAACTAAACTGAGAAATAGAAGTCAGTCCATTGGCATAATTTATCATTCTTCACTTTAAAAAATTCTAATAAATATTGTGCTTGAGTTTTCTTTTCTGCTATTTGTTCTTACTTGCAACTTTAAGTCAAACCTCCCAATACAAAACATTAAAAGCTAACATTCATGTACTAAAGTATTAATTTACAAGAAATCAAACCTCCCATGCTAGATTTGAAAATAACATCATCACAGCACCCTGATCCCAAATATTATAACGAGGCTTTTAAAATGTAAGTGAAATCCAGCTAAGTTTCATAGTTTCATTGAAAGCAAATGTCTGCCTCTACCTGAAAAACAAATGGAAATCTTTTGAAGTATTAATACCCTTTGGATCCTCATAAAAACGATGGCATTCACCTGAGGATTCCTATCTTGACTTCTTAGGTATTAAAAACCTTTCTCGATATGCTCTACATTTTAAAATTTGTTTCATAAAATCCTTATGTTGATTTTCATTTTATTCTCAAGTACAATACGTTTCACTCTAGACCAATAGAAGAACATGTTTAAACTTTGTTCATGGTCAAATTCATTTTCTATGTTTTAGTAACATGGCTCTTAAAAAGTACACTACCTTACAAAAAAACTTCATTTGAAATTAAATTTAATGCAAGTAAATTGCCATCTGATAATTCCACATGCTATCATAATCAACTGTAATAATAAAAATGATTTATCCAATTAGAAGAAAACAAGATATATTTTTCTCTGTATTTCTACAACTTTTGCCACTTCATTGACTACATTGTATATTGGACATCAGATTATTAGTAATGCATTATTGAGATCTTTTATTTTGGAATGATGCTAACTCTGTCTCTTTGCCAATTCTAATACCAGGTTCCAAGTAATAACTCTACAGTACAAAAAGAACTGAATATTCATTCTAGGGCTATAGGATATGAACTTCACAATTCATTTGGGTACATTCTCATTGAATTTCCTTCAAAACAATCTGTTCCTGGTGCCCAGTGATAATTCAGTCGGGACCAGCATGACTAAAAGGAAGGGGATATGCTAAGGCTCAGCAAAGTGACCCTAAAGGAGAGATATGTCCCAGGATGGAAAGAAGAAGATGTGGTTTAACCAAGTTATACTGACTAATCTAATCAGTCCATTCGTCCTTCTATTTTGGGAAAGGAGTGGGGACAGCCTAAGAAGAACATATCTGCATTGGGAAGAACCGTCTTTCCGGGCTAGGGATGGGGAACAGAAAGGGAGTATGGAAAGAAAAATTTTAACAGATTTGACTGAAGCAAGGAAAAAAAGCAAATCCCCAAATGTGCTAATCCTTGAAAGTAACTATCTTTCCCAAACTACTGCTGTTACCAGCAAGTGATCAGGAAGACTAGGAGCTATTTCTGACTGTAAATGAATTGTATAATGGCTCTGCTGCAGTTCTGTGACTTCCAAGCCAGGAATTAAATGCTCTTTTTAAGAATAACAAAAAACAAAAGCATTTCCTATGCTAGTCTCCCAGTAAAATGTACATGTTTTGGAGACTTCAAAGGTATTATATGAGTTCACATTTAGCAACAGCTTATTAATAACCCTCAAGCTGTCAGAATCTCTATAGTTACCATTTACAATTTTATACTGTGAAAAAATACAGATCAGTGAAAGCATAAAGATAAATCAGAATTCACTTTGAAGAGGGTCTGAGGCCTGGGAGAGTCTCTACTGTCTATTGAAGAATGAGGCATGTATAAAATAGTTGGTTGAATTTCACTGATCTTCCCAATGTGAACAAATATACTATGTATATTGTGTGTATTTCTAGAAATCAATGGCAGCTGCTGATGGTGTTGTAATTAGAAATCTATATAGATTATAGATGTTTTAGAAAGATGGTGCCAATCCTAAAAGATTTGTGTGGGCTAAAAGTGCTTGTACTTACTTTTTTCTGCACTTATAACTGATTTGGTTTTAAAATTGTGTGCGTGTATCTGTTCTTTCACTGTTGTGGCAGCTTGTACTATTAAAATAATAGAGAATGTTAAATTATTTTGATGTGAATTGCAAATGATTTTTTTTCATAAAGTTTAACATTTTTATCAGCATTGTTTTGCTTTGTACTTGTATAAATATGTTTTATTTTAGCACTTCAAAATATACTTGCCTGTTTCTCAGTTGTCTAAATCATGTTGTACTTGGTGTTTGTGAAGCCAGTTACTTTTCAAAAAACATTAAAAAAACTGTAATATGATTTTAAGATTATTCCCCTCAAATGTTTAGAATGTTGTCTTAATAGTGTTTTCTAAGATGAAAAGAGCCATGATACTCATTAATCTTGAATACTGGACGATCTATACATTGGAATTATGGGGTTTACAAAGTCAGCAGTGGACTATAGATTTAAATGAAAAGATAAACCAACCACTAATTAACCAGAGATGTTGTCCCCAAAGACATCTACAAACAACTGTTACATAAAGAACTACTTTTAAAAAAAAAAGAAATGTAGGAAATATGCATTATTTGTCTAGACATACAAATTATAGAAATAGTTTCATAATTATCTGTGTTGATGGAGGTAACATCACAGAGATAAAATAGATTATTTGTGTGTGTATAGATGTGTGTCTACAAACACACATTTATATAGACATTTGACTTTTGAGTCCATCTACATGTGTGTCTCTGTGTATATGTGTGTTTGTGTGTATATGTATGTGCATATTACATAATTTTTCCAGAAAAAAAAAAATTTTCCTTTGACTGATTCTTAAGCAAATATACATTCCCTGGACACAAATTAGTGAAAAACTAACAGCAGAATATAAAGTAGATGTTTGATGTATGGAAGAGAAAAACAAGGTATATTTAAAAATATATTTGCTCTATGCTTCTGACATTGTATTAAATCCATAATGAAAGATATACATATGTAGATACATATATTATTATACAAAACATGTTTGATCTTAACAAAGAAAACCATTTTATCTGTTCTGTCAGACTCTTCCCTTCAGTATCTTTTATTCTAAAGTGATATGAATGGTAATATGTTCATATAAAATTGAGGATGAAGTGACATTTACAAACCAGGTATAGGAAATTACCTTCTAAAAATCAGAAGAGCCTTATCAGACTCCATCAAATTATGGAAGGCCATTTAAAACCAGCAGATGCAATAGAAATAGCATTGAATTAAAAGCCAAGATCTCTTACCCTGTCACCAACTGACTTTGGATAAATCACTCTGATTTCTCTACAACTTGCTCCTCTTTAAATGCAGAACTGAGTTACAATAACCTGTGAAGTTTCTATCATTTCAACATTCCTGATAAATGCTCAATAGTAGCTATTATTAGTGGCAATGTAGTATTTAATATACAGTTAATATTCAGCAGGAAGCTTAAATTTGTTATATCAATGTTATTTGTGGAGCTTAACAAGTTCCGCACAACTTAAAGCATATGTCCTGGAGGAAACCTGTTGAGGTTTGAACTCATATGCAACCTTGGAATTGTCTATCAAGGACAACTTAGCAAATTGATATTAAACACCACAGACAGAATGCTTTCACTCTGTTATAATTTCTGCTGAATGTTGGCCAAGTTTTTGGTTATGCTATACATGAATTATCAGTTTTAGAACATAAACGATTTTCAAATATTTACTTTGTATGATAGCTAGGCAGATAGGTAGGTAAATAAATAGATAGGCAGAATTATATTAATGAAATTATCTCCTTAAGCAAAAGCTTAGTATTTACATTTTCTCTCACAGTATTTTGGAATTTAGAATCAATTATTATATCTCACTTTGTTTATTAATTTTAGGTTATTATGTTAGTAAATAAGTTCTATGAGGAGAATGTTTAAACTCATCTTCTCCAGTCATTCTTAGAATCCTGAACCAAAACTTTCCAGGAACACTGAACCTCCACTAGAATAAATATTTTAAATTACTGTTACACCAGAACAAAGACATTTCTTTTTGCCAGGACATAAGTCTCTTTGAGTTATGATCTATTTACAGGATAGCTCTGCGATATACATATCAGATACTTTGGCTTATTTATGTATAGCTTGTATTTTTATTCACTGACGTAAAAAATAAAGATTTTCATACTATCAGATTTCTATGAGACAGATGTTATATTATAAATTATACAAATTATATGTCCATGAAAACCACATAAAATTGGCTTTTCTGAACTGCTGAATAGTAATAGATGATTCATAAAAGTTATTAGAGTCTTAGAAGTTTGAAAAACGTAATAACTCCAAGTTAAATGGCTATCTTCACTTCAGAACTTACCAATTTATAGTATTCCAATATCCATTACCTTTGCTAATGAAGCTGTCTCCTCAGAGTAGAGCTTCATGAGAAGTATTTTGGAAATGTTATGATATAAAAGTTATAATTTATATACACTTTTTCTTTTAGTTTTCAAAATTCATTGCCATTTCCATGATGATCTCCTTAGGCCTTTAGAGAAGTAAACACAGATTGACAGAGTTACAACATTATCTTCAGGAGCCATTTTATTGAACCATCGGAAGTCTTGCTCAATTTTATTATTCATTCTCTTCCCATTTTTTGATTTCTTAGACCTCTGTCAGCACATTTACTTTACTTTAATGGGTCAAGCTGAGGGATTTCTTTTACAATTTATGTTCTTTCATTTTGGTTCAAAACGCTGGGTAGTTTCCTTAACTTCAACATCCTCAGATGAAGCAATATGTGAGATACAGCATTAATAGGTGTTGCCTAACCAGTGAAATGTATTCCAAAAGCAGTAGAAGTCTATCAGCATATTATCCAGAAGCTACTTTTAGAAACTCTTTCTAATTTAAAAACATAAGAGCAAAACTACATGAACACATGTATAACACATACCACATAAATGCATTTCTACTCTTGTGTATTTAAGATAATGACTTTAGCCCTTTACTTCCCCATGTGTGTGGTACTCTCTATCACATATTTTCTGAAGAGCTTAAATCCCATCATCCCTAGTAATTCATCTTATTCTTCAAAGAGTCATGAAACAATCTAAATGTATACAGAGAAAAAAAAGATCTTGTTTTGGGAAGACAAGTACCCACTTTAATAACCCGAGACAACTTAGCAACAAAATTAGGAGAACATCCTAGCTAGTTCTATCCAGCCTGTATGAAAGAAGGCAGTGGAAATGTTTTTGTATTCTTTGTCTAGCTATAACAAAAAGCATCAAAGTTGGTCGGGTGACTCATCCCTATTAATCCCAGCACTTTGGGAGGCCAAGGCAGGCAGATTACTTGAGCCCAGAAATTCAAGTTCAGCCTCGGCCACATGGTGAAACCCTGCCTCTACATTAATTACAAAACTTAGCTGAGCTGAGATCATGTAACTCTGTCTCAAAAGCAACAACAACAACAACAACAACAACAACAAATTAGAAAGAATGAAAGAAAAAGACATACATAAAAGTCAATTCCTAAAGAATAAGACTAAGATACAACCATTTACAACCATTTCTGATTGACAAAGCACAGGTCAGGGGTGCAAGAAACATGTGAGTGATGACCACAGGGCCAACAAACAGACTTAAATGCCCAAATAAATTAAAGAAAGTTAAGAAGCACTCAGAAAAAGAATAATGCAACCATGTTCTTAAGTGATGGTATTTGCTGAACCAGCACTATCAGTTAACCATTTCTGATCTATACAAAGCATTTAAAGGAGCAAATGATAAACAAAGGCAGTTGTAAGAATATTAATGTCCAATAAGAAATAATTCAAAATAAAAGCCATTAAGAGGATTAAAAGAAATATTTAAAATTGATAAAAATCTACACAGAAGATAGAACAGTGATGAACCTGTATGTGCTTAAAAATAGGGTTTCGAAACCTATAAAACGAAGATTATTGGAAACACAAGAGGAAAAAAAAAATCCACAATCACAATGACTCACTTTAATATATTTAACTTGCAAATACACCAAGAAACCAAAAGAAAAAAAAATCTATGTAATTAAGTAACACAAATAGCAAGAATAATCAAACAAATCTACTTAGAGGTTTGTTCCTATTAACAGAGGACAGACATTCTCTTTATCATCATTAAAATATTCATAAATATTAACCTTGGATTAAACCAGAAAGAAAATTTAAACAAATTCCAGGAAACAAAAATTAAACAGGCTACATTCACTGACTAAAAGATAAAGAAATTTTAAATTTAAAACAAAAGTTATCCAAAAGAAATATGTTCACTTACAATCTCTCTTTAAAGATAGCTTTCCTGAATAAAGAGAAAAACCTAACTAAAATCATATCCTGTTTATAAATGAACATCGGTGACAATTCTGTATATTAAAATCTGTAGAATGGCCAAAGAGTACTCAAAAAATGTTTTATCATAAATGTATGTTTTTAAGAAGACTGAAAACAAATTAAACATTCAACTGAAGATGTTGTAAAATAAATAATAAAAAGTAAATACAATACAAATAATTCATATTGAACAAATCAAAATAATACAAGCAAACTTTTAAAAAATTAAAAGTAACCATTAAAACCAAAGGCATCGACTGGATAAAGAAAATGTGGCACATATATACCATGGAATATTATGCAGCCATAAAAAGGATGAATTCATGTCCTTTGCAAGGATATAGATGACACTGGAAACCATCATTCTCAGCAAACTATCACAAGAACAGAAAACCAAACACACCCATAAGTGGAAGCTGAATAATGAGATCACATTGATGGAGGGAGGGAAACATCACACACCAGGGCCTGTCAGGAGGTGGGGGACTAGGAGAGGGATAGCATTAGGAGAAACACCTAATGTAGATGATGGGTTGATAGGTGCAGCAAACCACCATGGCCCATGTATACCTATGTAACAAACCTGCACGTTCTGCACATGTACCCCAGAACTTAAAATATAATTAAAAAAATTAAAAAGGTTAGACCCAAGTAACCATGATAGCTCTCCTCCACTTTTGATGGAAATAAAATTAGGGCAAACAATTTTGGTCTTCTGAGATAAACATTATAAAAACTAAAACAAAATGAAATAATGTCCAAACACAATTAAGGCTCAGTAATAATAGTTCAGTGTGAGAAAAATTATTGATGTTACTTATCACATGAAAATATACAAGTACCTCAATAGATTTGGAAGGGAAAAAAAAATTTGACACAATTTTTGAAAAAGTCATCTATTTGAAAAGACCCACATGTTAACATTCATCAAATCTAACT